CTGTTTTTAATCATTACTGGGTATTAAATTTATCAAGTCTTTTTTTATATCTTTTTTACTTTTCTCTACTCTGTCATGGTTGATTTTCAAATGTTCCAACCTTGTATTCCTCAGCTAAACCCATTTGATCAAGATGTATTATCCTTTTCATACATTGCTAGATTTGATTTGCTAATGTTCTATTAATGTTTTGGTACCAAGGTTATGCTGGCTTCATAAAACAAATCAAAATGTTTTCCCTCTTTAAAGATGTTTCTTAAGACTAGTATTGCACCAGTGAAGCCATCTGAACCTATAGGTTTCTGTGTGAGGTTTTAAATCACAAATTCAGTTTCTTTAACTGATAATGGCTATACAGAGTTTCTGTTTTGTACTGAAATGTGATTTTTAAGCAATTCAATTATTTCATTTAAGTTGTCAAATTTATTGGCATAATATTCATAATTTCCCTTTAATTCACTTTAAATGTCTATATGATCTAGTGATGTCTTGCATTGTTGATGTTCATAATTTGTTTTCAGGCATCATTCTTTGTCTATCCTTCCTATTACTATTTTAATTTAGGACAATTCCTAAACTTTTTCTCAACTGTTGCGATAACCACACACTAGCCTTCCTATTTACAGACTTGTTTCTCTGTGTTCCATTCACCTTACTTACTACAGGAAGAAAGGTCTTTCAAGAGTGCAAATATAACTAAATCTTTCTCTGCTCAAAACTTTTTAATGGTTTCCTAATACCTTCAGAATGAAAATCTAATCTTCTTCTTGTGGAATACAAAACCATTAATGATGAGGTATCTGTTTCTCTCAGTAGACTCATGTCTTTTCCTATATTTCTTCTCTGTTTTCTCTCCCCCGACAAGCCATAGGGAGCCATATTTCACTGCCTTTCTAGGTGTTCTAATTTGTCACTCTTCATCTTAAAATTAAATACAGCATTTCAGATGTAAATGAGCAACACTAGGTAGACAAAAATTGTCTCCTAACTTCTCCTTTACTGAGATTATTAATACCTGATTGGTATTGTCTCAGTATTTATTAATGTTTTTTCAACATAATACTTTTTATTCAGTGTATCTTTACATTCACAACATCTAACTGCAAAGTGTCATTTTTAGCTCAGTTTCAATTTTACTGTTACCTCCAATCATATTAAGTTTTCATCTATTTGCTGTAAGTGGGATACTTATCAGCAACATTGATGATGAATTTTATTTCAGCTTGAGAGTATTAGTATTGGTATTGGCCAGTCACCCAGATGACTAGATGATATACGTTTCTTTCTTTAAAATATTTCATATTTTGAGAAATAAAGACATGTTCCTGTAAAACTGGCTGTTTGGAGGCAAAGCAGTTGTTCCTTTTCCTGTCAGTCCTTTACCACCAGGGGAATCAGGATGCCCCATACTATGTTTAAAAGCCTAAAACACTTCAAACTTCTATTCTCCTGTTGGGCTTGAAAGGGGGATGTTGTTAGCTCTGCCTTGATGTAGCAGGGGCTCTGTAAGTCTATTTGGGTAACACTGAAGATTGGAGGAAATGTGACTCTGTCTGTGTGTTTTAAGCCCCTAAGGTAAGATCAGAACGCGTCTGGGGGAGTGAGAGCCAAATAGCTGAAGTCATACATTAATTATGGTCATGAATCATTTTTATTTTTAAAGTCCTTACCATTTGACAAGGTTGTTTGCATAGTACTAGTGAGTTTTAGAGGCAGCGTTTTCCCCCTTTTAAAGTAACAGGCTCTTTTCTTGACTTCTGCTCAGGGTTGATAATGCCCTTCATCATTAGGATTCTGTTAGCATTTTTTGTACGAATTGCTTGTTTCCCTACCTGTGTTGTCTTTTATTTATGATTTTTGTTTTGAATATATTTTGAAGTTATAATTATAGAAAGCTATCACATTAATATTTCATTTTTCCACTGATATCAATAAAAAATAATTGAATCTTGGGATTGTGCTTTTATATTCAGGCATTAGTCAACATTCACCTAGCAAACGTGAGTGCCTCCTTTGTGCCACATTATGTGCTAAGCACTGGGAATGTAGGTGAAAAAAAATGAATTTTTTTTCTTTCTCAGAAAGACCCAGTAAGGAAATGCACAAGGAAATAAACAGTTGACTTAAACTGTAAAATGTGGTCCTGTGGTCTTTGTTAGTGGTGGTGTGTACATGATGCCTCAGATTTCCAAAGCAAGGGGTGCCTCTACCTGTTTGAATAGTCAGGGAATGCCTTCAAAAAAGACGTTATGCTTGAGCTTACGAGTGGACTTACCTGTTCAGAGAAAATCTGTAGGCACATAGAATAGTTAACTCAAAGGAACAGAAGCAAGAAATGGCATGATGTGCTTGGAGCGTTGTCCGTGTTCAGTATATGGCTGGAGTTGAACGTGTAAGGGATATCAGGAGGTGAGGCTGGGGATGTACACTGGGATCATACCACAAAGGGCTTCCATTTGCTTTTAAATTTCTTTAGTCACATTTGTAAGAGAGTATTACTATGGAATGTATGTCACGCACATAGCCAGAGCAAAAGGCAATAGCATGATGGAGTATAATCTCTACTGGATTCCTTAGGAGTCCTGAAGAAGTTGCTGATAGCAGATCTAATGAACAAACTAGCTATAATGAGAGTTGCTCTCTTTTAGATAACCTAAGAAATCCTCCGTAACTATCAGGCAATTTCCAAATGTTACAGAATATGTCATGAATATTTTCTGTGCATAGTGTAATAATAATAATAATAATGTTGACAGAGGTATTGATGCCATTAAATTCCTAATAAAATTAACCTCCTCATACATAGGATAACTTTCAGGTTAGGATTGTTGGCCAATTTTTTAAAAGGTAACATTTACATACAGAGAAATGTGTAAATCTTAACTTTAAATTCCCTGTATACCCATGCACCCCTCACCCCAATCCAGATACAGAACATTTCCATCGCCTTAGATAGTTCCTTTGTTCCTCCTATTATCTACCAGTCAATTCCACCCAACACAGGCAACTAATACAGTATGTTCTTTTTTGTTTCTGACTCTTTTCACTCAATATAATGTTTTTGTGATTCACTCATATTGTTGTTTCTAGGATTGTGTTCCTTTTTATTGCTGAATAACATTTCATTGTAGGAGTATACCACAATTTGTTTATTAATTCTGTTTAATGGACATTTGGGTTTTCTATGAATATTCTTAGACAGATCTTGTGGGAATATGTTTTTATATTTCTTGAGTAGATGCTTAAGAGTAGAAATACTGCATCATAAGTTAGATGTGTGTCTAATATTATAAGAAACAGTTTGCCAAAATGGTAGTATACTCTTTTACTCTTTTACCAGCAATACAGACAAATTCTAGTTGCTCCACATCCTTACTAGCATTAGGTGTTGTCACTTTAATTTTAGCCATTGAACAGTTGTGAAATGGTATCTCATTATGATTTTAACCTCCATTTCCACAATGACTTAGATGTTGAGCATATTTTCTCAGCTTATCGGACATTTTTATATCTTCTGTGAAGTGTTTCACTCTTTTTGCCCATTTTGATTGAGTTGTCCTTTTGTTGCAGATTTGTGATTTGTGAGAGTTCTGTATGTATTGCACACACAGTCCTTAGTCATATTAATGTTTTCTTAGTATTTTCTCCTAGTCTGTGGACTGCTTTTATATTTTCTTAATGGCATTTCTAGATGACCAGAGATTTTAAATTTTGGTAAAATCCAATTTATATATTTTTAATTCTGTGGTTAGTGCTTTTTGTCTTTTCGAAGAAATCTTTGCTTACCCCAAGGTAGCAAAAGCTTCTCCAGTGTTTCTTCTACAAGTTTTATGATTTTAACTTTTATGTTATTTGAATTACTTTTTTGTACATGCTGTGAGGTAGGTAATGAAATACATTTTTTTCCTTATGTTTATCCAGTGTTCCAGCACCATTTGTTTAAAAAACTTTCTCCATTAATTTGCTTGGTTTGGGTTCCTTTGTCTAAAATCAATTATATGTGTAGGTCGTCTTCTATACTCTTTTTTCTTCTCCATTGATCTAGTTTTTAATTCTTCTGTCAATACCTTATTGTTTTCATTGTGTAACTTTATAAAATAGGAAGTCTTCAAATCTGACAGATTTCAAGATTGACTTACTTCTTTTAGATTCATTGTTTTTCTATTTAAATTATAGTATCAGCATCTTAATTTCTACCAAAAAAGGGGGAAAAAAGTCTGTTGGTATTGGGATTGAGATTATGACACTATTGACCCATTTATGGAAATGTAACTGAATTTTTATATATTGGCCCTATATCCTGTGATCTTATTAGTTCTAGTGGTTGTTTTGTAGATTTATAGATTTTCTACATGAAAATCTTGTCATCTACAAATAAAGACTATTTGACCATTTTTAATATGTACTTATGTAAGAAGTGTATAAGCTATATTTGAAGACAGAGACCAAGAAAAATACAAGCCCATAATTAAAACAAAAAATAAAAATAGCTCTTAATTTTTTCTTGTGTTACTTGTTCCAAAGTGGCTGCTGCTTACCTGGGATTATTATTTTTGTTTTAATGGATGCCCATAAAAAATTATTTTTTCTTAATGGATACTCATCACCAATACTCAGCATTGATAGCAGTGATGTTGTCCCGGTGACTTTAGAGATCTACTTTATTTCTCTGGGCCTCAGTTTCCACATGTGTAAAATGGTAGTATTCAACCAGAATACTTTCCAAGGACTATTTCAGACTTCCGTGAGTTCTTCATTTTTAGCTCTTAATACATCAGAGGCAGCAAGGCAGGTACAGTATCTCTAGAGCACATTGTAATTAATCCCTGTTATTTCACTATAAATATCCTAGAGAATTGTTAAATGATCAGTTTTAGTTCACTATTAATTCTGTTTATCCTGGAAGGTTTGTCCTCATTTTGTTCTATTTATATCTCTGGCTCTGTGTTGAGTGTTTATAGTTACCTCACTTAAAATTTTTCTACATCTTTTATTTCTAGGCTTCATAGAGCCCAGTGTGCAATTAAACAGACTCAGGTAACTGTTCAGAAAATTGGAAAGGAAATTGAAGAAAAACGAAGACTCACATCTACAAGCAATGAGCTGGTAAGTTTTATATATCTACCTGCTTGAACTCCTTGATTTCTAAATGTGATCATCATATTCTTATATTGATTTCTTCTTTTTTTCTCAAAAAACTTTAGGTAGTTTTTCTTTCCTTTTTTTCCCCTCTTAATGTTTCACTGAGACTCATGTTGGCATTTAATTGTTGGAGACAGACTTTCCCCTCTGCTAATAATGTGGCATACAAAGTACCTGCCCTTTTCTGGGAGTTGAAAGTTTAAATTACATGTAATTACTTAGAAGATAATTAAGAGCTATTTTATTAATGTCTTATAGATGTGAACTCTAGACACAAACTGTATAGTGAATGAAAAATAGCTGCCAGAGGAAAAAATAATAAACTTTAGAGGTTAATCTACTTTTAGAAGATGACTTTAAAATTATTTGGATTGAACATAATAGGCACTTATGGACAATGCTCTTTTGGGAAAGATTCTTTTAATGAGGCATTTCCAAAGACATAGAAATTCTAATCTGAATGTACAGGTAGGTTTAAGATATTAGTATAATTTTGGGTTGCTTTTGAAGTCTTTCTAGCAGAGGAAAAAAGACTAATTTTGGAATGAAGATTCTGTCTTTGTAAGCAGAATTGTGTGTATAACTGATAAATTAAGCTTTTCTCAAAGTGAAGTCACATGTCTATGGATAGCTTTTGATAAAATTTGTGCTGTGGACTATGATATTTAAAATAAACTTAAAATCCTCAAATGAAGTTCTAAATAAAATTTTAAGTATTTGCTTATGTGAACACATTATCATAGGCAGTATCTTCTCATATGAAATTGCTGACTTTGACATATAAGTGGCAGTTTCATATAGTTCTGTCTTCTATATAAAATGCCTAGTGCTGTACCTGGCACATAGCAGTCATACCAAATCTGGTAGCTGCAATAACTGTAGTAGTAATACTTAATCATGTCATTTTTTTTTTGCCTGTGGGAAAAGCTTGCATTTTGGAGAAGCTGTTAAATCAACTCTTATTGTCATTCAGACTCAAAGAACCAAATTCCAGACCACAAATATATTGGAGGAGAAGGAAAAAACAGCTAATTGTAATCTTTTCTGTAGTGTATAAAAATGACACCTCTTTAGAACTTTCGTCTGGAGAGAAATTGTGAGAGTTGGGGTTTTTTTTCCTTCTTCTTTTCCTCTCCCAAGGCAAGAGTGGGAAATTACTTATTTCATTAAATGACAGCATATGCTTTGTCTCAGAAGGGAAAAATGTATGTTTAATCCTACTTTTCTAAAATATAAGTGGTGACACACAGAACAAGGTGATAGAATGTATGAGTTTACAAGAGGTCAGATTCAGAGGTTCACTGTATTATTTTTATGCTGCCTAGTCTATATAGAGGAACATCATTGGATTTTTGAACTGAAAGTGAACCTAGAAGTCATCTAGTTTTCTTATAACCCCACTTAAAACCACACCCTCACACTATATTCTGTCCCCTTCCCTGTTTTTTCCTCCATATTTATTTGTTACCTTTTAACATGTTATGTACTTTACATATGTGTTTTACTTGTCTCTCTGAACTCTGTGAGGGGAGAGATTTCTGTCTCTTTGGGTTTTGTTTTTCCCCCACTGCTTTCGCCAGTGTCTAAAAAAGTGTTTGGGACATAGTAGGTGCTTAATGAATATTTGTTGAATTTAAGAATGAATCTAATGTAATATTTTTTAAAAAAGAACAGGAAAATGAGGCCTGAGGAAAGGATTCAGGTTTCCCGTAATCATTTGACAAATAGAGACAGAAATTTGGTTTACTTTTCTCCTTTCAGGGAATAATGCCATATATTTGCTACTTACCTACTTTAAGATTTACCTGTAGCAAATTAGAAACCTTTATTTACTATTATCTTTTTTCTCACTCCCTTTGCATATTGGCCTAAGGTCATCATACTCCAACCCACGCATTTTCCATGTATAAGAATTAATTTTAGTTTTAGCCTAAGTGTAGTATAGTCATAAGGCATATTTGATACTGCAAGAAATGATTACCTTCTAAGATCAAAAGAAATTGATTCTAAAAATTTGTGTTTCTTACTTGATGACTTTCAAGGATTGGCATCTTGTTGTTTCCTACATAAGTTTTTTGGCAATTAATTATGTTTCTTATGAAATTTCTGCTTTTGTCACCTTCAATTTTTGTTATTATGTTTGGATTTTATCAAATGCCTTTCCTGTATCTGTTGAGATATTGTATGATCTTTTTCTTTTCTTATATTATGATGGTAGAATACATTGATTGATTTTTTTTTGTAAAGAGGATTTTATTTTTTATTGATTTATTTATTTATTTTATTTTGGTATCATTAATCTACAACTACAGAAAGAACATTATGTTTACTAGGTTCCCCCCTTCACCAAGTACCCCCCACATACCCCTTCACAGTCACTGTCCATCTGTGTGGAAGACGCTGTAAAATCACTACTTGTCTTCTCTGTGTTGCGCAGCCCTCCCCATGTCCCCCACACACTATACATGCTGATCGTAATGCCCTCTTTCTTTTTCCCCTCCCTTCCCACCCATCGTCCCCAGTCCCTTTCCCTTTGTAAATAGGAATTTTTATCTCAGGTATATTAAAGATGATAATATTTTATAATAGAGATTGTAACTTCTGGTTATATGTTATTTGAGAAAAAGTGTTTGTAAGATAAACTTCGGGGGAAAAAAGTCTCTATCTTTTTTTTTTTTTAAGGTATCATTGATATATACTCTTGTGAAGGTTTCACATGAAAAACATTGTGGTTACTACATTCACCCATATTATCAAGTCCCCCCATACTCCATTGCAGCCACTGTCCATCAGTGTAGTAAGATGCCACAAAGTCACTACTTGTCCTCTCTGTGCTACACTGTCTTCCATGTGACCCCACACACACACCATGTGTACTAATCATAATACCCCTCAATCCCCTTCTCCCACCCTTCCCCACCCCTCTCCTTTGGTAACCCCTAATTCCTTCTTGGAGTCTGTGAGTCTACTGCTGTTTTGTTCCTTCAGTTTCGCTTTGTTGTCACACTCCACAAATGAGGGAAATCATTAGGTATTTGTCTTGCTCCACCTGGCTTATTTCACTGAGCATAATACCCTCTAGCTCCATCCATGTTGTTGCGAATGGTAGGATTTGTTTTCTTCTTATGACTGAATAGTATTCCATTGTGTATGTGTACATCCATTAATCTTCTACATCCATTAATCTACTGATGGATACTTAGGTTGCTTCCATTTCTTGGCTATTGCAAATAGTGCTGCAATAAACATAGGGGTGCATATATCTCTTTGAATCTGAGAATTTGTATTGCTTGGGTAAATTCCTAGGAGTGGAATTCCCGGGTCAAGTGGTATTTCTATTTTTAGTTTTTTGAGGAACCTCCATATTGCTTTCCACAATGGTTGAGCTAATTTACATTCCCACCAACAGTGTAGGAGGGTTCCCATTTCTCTGCATCCTCACCAGCATTTGTTGTTGCTAGTCTTTTTGATGTTGGCCAACATTGATTGATTTTTGAATGTTAATACAAGTTTGCATTCCTGGGAAAATCCTCTGTTGTTTATGATGAATTATTCTGTTTATGTATATTACTAGATACAATTCGCTAAACAGTTTTAAAGTATTTTTGTGTCTGTATTCAGAAAGAGTACTGGTCTGTACTTTCCCATAATAATTTGGGAAAGTTTTGTTTTCTTGTAATATCTCTGTCGGGTTTTGTTACGGCAATGTTGACTGTAACTAGCGAGTTGGGAAATATTTCCTCTTCTATTTTCTGGAAGAATATATAACATATCTAGAATTGGAATTATTTTGTAGATGTTTGGTAGAATTTACTGGTGAAGCCATCTGAGGCTGGAGTGTTCTTTATGGATTTTGAACTAGGAATTCAATACTTTTATAGCTGTAGGGTTGTTGGAGTTATCTACCTCTTGAGTGAGCTTTGGTAACTTAGGTGTTTGAATGGTCTGTCCATTTCATTAAAACATCAGTCTTTTTAATTTTAGTTATTCTAATGGGTGCATAGTATTTTCTTATTTTACCTTATAGTTGTATTTTTGTGATGAACATTTTTCATATCTTTATTGGTTACTTGTGTATGTATCTTTTAAGAAGTTTGTTTAAATATTCTTGCTTATTAAAAAACAAACAATTTAGATTTAAAGAAAACTTGCCAAGATAGTTCAGAGAGTTTCCATCTATCTTTCATCCAGTTTCTCTTCATGTTAACATCTTTTATAACCACATGACATTTGACATGGTACATGTGACATAGTGTATCATCAAACCAAGATATTAACATTGGTATGTTGCTGTTAACTGTGGACTTCATTCAAGTCTCACCAGTGTTTCCACCCATTTTTTTTTAAAATCAACATTTCATAGCACTTCTAGATTTATAGAATTATAACAAAAATAGTACAAAGTGTTATGCCATATGCCCCATACCCAGTTTCTCCTGTTATTAACACCTTACCTTCATATGGTACATTTGTTACAATTAGTGAACCTGTATTGATAAATCATCATTAACTAAAGTCCATGCTCTATTCATATTTCTTTAATTTTTACCTAATGTCCCTTTTCTACTCCAGGAAACCATACTACATTTTGTAGTCATGCTTCCTTAGATTCTTCTTCACTGTGAAAATTTCTCAGACTTTCATTGTTTTTGATGATTTTGACAGTTTTGAGGATTGCTAGTCAGGTATTTGATAGCATATCCCGTATAGAGATTTGCCTGATGTTTTGTCTTGATTAGATGGACATCTGTCTTTCACCAGTACCCAAAATTCCCTTATTATTATAGATCTGTTATCTTAAAACCAAGTAGGTAAATTCTTCAACTCAATTTTTCATTTAAAAGATTCTTGTGGGTTTTCTAGGTTGTATTTCCAGGTGAATTTGAGCATCAATTTTGTCAGTTTCTATGAAAGAAAATAATACCTGTTGGAATTGTGAAAAGTATTTGTAGATCAGTTTGTGG